CGGAGGGGATCTGCTGTAGCAACGAATCTGCAGCCATTTGGACGTGGTCGAATAGTCGGTCTGTTTCGGCATTACCGCTATGGGACCTATAGAGGCACCCGTAGACGCGCGGATGGTGGTCGCTGTCTACGCGTAGCCAAAGGATGGACAAGTCCGAACCTTCAAGTCTGCCGAGGCGTCGATAGCAGATGTCCTCTCTGACGTAAACGCAAACTCCAGCCCGAGGCACATAGGAGTGTTCCAGTTTGTACCCCGGGTAGGAGAGATACGAGACATCAGCCGGAGAGGACACCTGCGTCTCGGTCAGAAAGAGCAGAGCCGGCCTCGCCGTCTCGAGATGGTAGTGGACGGCGTTTAGGTTAGAGTGAAGTCCCCTGATATTGCAGAAATTCACGGACAGCGTGGCAGGGGTCGCCTTGGTCTTGTTGCTCCGTTTGCCCCGAGCAGTTGTAGTCTTGAGCGGAATTTTGCCCCCCCCCCCCCCCCCAGAATACGCGAGGCAGCCTGAGCACCCACGCTCAGAAGTGGAGAAACATGGTCGTGGATGCTCAGCGAGGGATTCTCCAGGGGTGCTGGTACCCTCTGGGGTAGTCGATCATTATTTAATTCCGCTACCATGTTGATGGGGGGGGGGGGATTTGGGCCTCCGACCACCTGCACTCACCAGACGAAACGCGGAAGCAGAGCTTCCACTTCACGCCGGTATTCTGTGAGGTCGTGGTACCACCCCGGTTTGAGCCGGCCCATACGTGCAACAGCAAAGCTGCCGCGTGGCTCTACCACTGTTAAATCAATCGATATCCGTATATGTGATTCGTGGGTTTTATCGCACCAACGTTTCAGTAGTCCATACATTTTCTGCTGATACTGCTGTTTGAGAGACCCTGGTTCTTTGGTCACCTTTAAGGTGACCAAACCACCTAAAAACAAAACCACCTAAAAATTGTTGTGCGTGATAGAGCTGAGTCCCCCTAATTCTGATTGTAACCGTTGTAAACGTAATTGTTCGGTTAAACCAAATTTAAAATCATAATAGATCGTTTTAAATGAAAAGCGCGGGAAGCATTGCAGGAAAATTAATAGAACTTTGTTTTTTTTAAGTGTTGAGTAATGAGGGCCTCTTACGCTCACCAGGTGTCGCTAGTTGACATTGAGGTGAAATTTTTTGTTACACAGTGTCATTTAATTGAGAATTTAGTTTTTAATAAAAGTTTATCAGTTTCTGGAGTACTATATTAATACACAAAACAATACTCTGTGGTTTTTCTTTTAAGTTGGCACTTTGTTAAAAATTTTATTTTGATTTTTCTATTTTAATAAATATCTGTGGTTTGTTTTTTTTTAATCTAATTAATATAAAATATAACTTATGGCACAGAAAGAAACATTAGCCTTTACAATTTTCGAATAAATTAACTTCTCCATTATGAAATTTGTCAAATATTGCACCTCATTTTAAGTGGCGCCGCCCTGTGCTCGTGACCTTACCCTTCATATGGTAACCCTACGTTTCCTAAGGTTAGGTTACTACTATATACCCGTTAAAACCCGTAAAAACTAGTATTATTTAAGTATACTTATAACGACAGTAATTTTTTTTGCCATGAGATAGTAAATCAATTACTCTCTAAAACAGGAGAGTTCCATGTCCATCAGTAAACTTTTACGAGTCAATGACGATCATGATGATACTTGTAGGGGCCAGACAAGAGCAGGGCGGCATCAGCATCTGTGCTCTTTTAATGCTGATTTAGTACAAAGTGGAAAGAATCCTTTACCGCCTGGGAGTCGGTCTGAATAGATTCTCACCTCATATCTATTTCCACTGCCAAGCAAAAATGCTCGTACTGCTGTTCCGGTCTCAAGTGTATAGTCTATATAGTTACACACTATGAGGCGTTCCGGCTTAGTCCTCAGAGATCGCAACGCATCTGAAGTCTTATTTTTTTTCTTTCTTAGGGGCCAGTTATCCATGGGCTTTTTAGTTTTTAAAAAATTTGACGACTTACAATAATCAACCTGAATTAGAGCGCATGAACGGTGGGTCAGAATCTTGTTATCAAGCTCAGCAAATATATAAGTTAATGTAAGTTAACCGTTTAGTGGCGGTATAAGCATATTCACTATCCTATATCATACCTTGGTTGTTATAAGAAGCGACAACTGAATAAAACCCCCTTGCAATGGTGGCAATTATGGCAAACACCCTCCCTATGAGGCAATGTATGATGGAAGCCTATGTTCAGCAGTGACATTTAGACAGGCTGTAATGGTGAAACGTAAACAAAATACTCTCTCAATGTCATATTTTATGACATTCCTAAAATTGCTGTTATTTAGACAGACAGTTACAGAACAAAATCGTTTATAGCAATCGTAACTTATTCAGCTTCCATTAGTTCAGCATCCGTTTCTTGTTTTCGTAAATTGAAGGCAGACACGGTAAATCACTTTACACTGATTGTTGGAGCGTAAGCGCTCTGAAAAGGTATTAATGGATTCAAAGCAATCGCGACACCGAAAAGTCGTTACTGGAGTGAAAATAAAAAGAGCCTTCCAGAGACAAGCGATAAGCACGTTCGGGCTCTTAAACTCGCAGTGAGAGATCCGTCTGCAGTTTGTCTGAATCAATAAAAAGCCCATCGAAGCCAAAAATAGTGTTATATTTATACTAAGTGTTGTGACATAATACTTTTGTAAACAATAAGATTGTCAAACGAACACACAATTCACATAATGGTAAGTTGATACTTTATTCCAGAGACATTTACATCCATCTACGATTAAGAATCACAATGCAGGTGCATGGAAACTAAAATGGAATTCCTCTATGGCGGCGCAGTCGTCGCGCTACATGCGTAAAGCACCGAAGCCTAAATTGCGCTATCATAGTTCCGAAATACTGCGATGTATATAGATTAGCTCCAAACTACCATATGGAGCCAATCAAGGTGATTGGCTTGGGAAGCGGTCAACACTTCATAGTCAACATCCATCGCCCGGCGAGAGTTCTCCTCTTATTCTTCTACGGTCAAACCTCATTTCCAGTAGAAAGGGTTTCCGTGTCTCTACATGTACCATATGCACCAAAGCAGCATTATTTTTATGTTATTATGATAAGGATATAGAACGACGAGTGAATGCAGGAAATAAAGTAAATAGGGCTCTACACTCTATTGTGAAAAGTCAGAATGTGTCAAAAAAGGCACGTATGGCAATTTACAGTGCTGTATTAGTCCCTACTTTAACGTATGGTAGTGAAAGTTGGGTGTGGCAGATTCTTCTGATCTCATGCTTCTGCACGAGAGTAGAATAAATGCAGTAGAAATGCGGTCGCTAAGGAGTATGTTAGGGCTGAATCTGAGTGACAGGGTGAGAAACTGTGTGATAAGAGTGTGGTTTGCAAGATGATGCGGTGACCAGGATTAAGAAAGGAATGCTTCGGTGGTTTGGTCACGTAGAAAGAATGAATGAGGGAAGACTGACAAAGTTGCAGAAGTGAATGGAAGAGTCGGAAAGGGACGTCCTAGGTGAAAGTTTGTCGACCAAATTGGCGATATACTGAAAATGGGATAAATTAAGAGTACCCTTAACCGACGAGCATGTATGCGTAGGTATATGGATGTGGAAGAGGCGAGGGAGGTGTGTCAGGATCGTGCCAAATGGAAGTCTGTAGTCTCTGCCTACCCCTCTGGGTGACAGGCGTGAGTGTTTATGTTTTTTGAGCTGATATTCTATGAGAGCGTGATTCTTCCCCAGTCGAAACGACTTAACCTTGCTACAACTATAATATAGCTGCAACATGGCTCTACAATATACAATTTTACTCCTATATCTTACGTTCGTGTTTACTCGATTTGTATTCCTTAATTTCCTTAAATCCTTAATTTCCTCAATCTTTTATGTGGGTAATATTTGCGTCAATGTCTTAAGGAAGTTAAACACGATCGAATATATTTTGTTAATTTTACCATAACAGCTACATTTTATGTGTATTAAAAGTGACCGTTGAAATTCGTACAGTATCATTTCCAGTTTATTAGCGTAAAATCGTCTTCCAGCGCAGAGAGAAATTACAACATGCTATATTGCATCTTTTTGCAGTTTTATATTTGGCTTTGAACTCAAAGTCATCGCAGTAATATATACAAACGTTCATAAGCTCTATTAAATTTAGATTTAATAGATCTTATGAATGTGAACGTTAATAAGAGCTATTAAAATTATATCTATTTATTCGAAGACTTTCACTAAAAGTAAAATGTGTATAACCCTAAATTAATACCTCTTAAAGTTTATGATCTTGATTTTTACAAAGTTGTTAAAAAGGTACTTAAGGATTATCAATCGTCCCACTCTTTTAAACCAAATTCTAAGAACAGCTTGCTGGATTCAATGATTACCTAAGTGTAGCCTACGGTAATCCTTGGATCCAGCAAGTTGTTTGTTGTTATAGCCTTTATATCATAGATAACCTCATATTTTTTTATTATCTTTTCCCTCAGCTGCTGGATTTTCTCCAATTATCAGTGCATCGCCAAACTTTTTATATGAATAATTTGGCAGGTTCACTGTCCTCTTCATAGATTAGCGGCATATTCGCAATCGCAAGTTTTATACTTGAAATGTTTTTAAAAAAAATACTTTTGCCCATTTTCTGACCGAAATGTTCTCTCTGTTGATTTTCAAAATACCAACGGAATTAATCCACATCTGGAAAGCTTAATAACCTTTTCAAAAGTGAACGAAAATAAAAACAACATAGATCAAAAATAACTACAAAAACAACAGGGGTACCGTAATATAAAAGTGTGATCAAATTTTGAAAGATAATAAATATAGATAATATTTAATGACAAGATGAAGATTTTTAAGTTCGTAATATTTGTCCAAGAACTACGTAGACCTAAACAAGCAAGGCAATTTCGTAAACACTGATCATTTTACCTTATTAAATTTTATGATAGTCTGAAACTACAACAATGTTTATTTTGTCGTAGGTCATTACCAAAGCTTTACAACTCGGAAGAGGAACAAGGGAGACCACCTCAGGGTGGAGTAGTGACATTCGAGCCGATCCAGCACGATCACGACTTCTGCGAGAGGGTGGTGATCAATGTAAGTACTTTTATAAAAATAATATGTTATATTTACCTAAAATTACTTAGCTATTAAGCTTATTTTAGCAAAACTGGTAATATAAACAACTCAATACAAGAATAGAAAATAACAGCGTCTCGAATCCCATTCTGCAAGTAACACCGGAATAATAGCTCTCACTGAACTCTTTTAGTTGTAAAGATCGGTTATATTGTATATTGTTTATCATTTCTTTATTTATTCAATACATCTATGTTTTTTCATTAGGCAATACTTACCTTTGACTTTTAATTTTTGCTCCTTAAAATTACTTTCTCGTAAAAGTAAATTAGTATTTTTATGAGAAAGTAATTTTCACTGAAACTCTTTAATTTAAGAAAGTTTGTTTAGGAAAATAATGTTTATAGTAACGCCAGTTGGTTCCTATATCTGCTTACCTATATGGCATAATCAAAATGCATCACGGCGTACAACGAGCGACTCATAAATAGCAGCAATTAAGTTTAGCGTTCGTGTGCGAAGTATTTAAAGCACTCAACGTGGAGGTGTTTACTAGTTGCCTTCGCTAACTAGTACCTAACGCCTCCGAGAGCTACGAATAACATCGAACTATGGATGAGGCATTCTGAACGTTATTGATTCGAAATTTCCTGTATAATATACACGACCCTTTTTTCTGGAATTAAATTAATCCATCTTAGTCCTCAGAGGCGACAAAGCATCTGCATTTTGATTATTAATATGTTTATATTCCCCAGAATCCACTTACATTCAAGTGGACTGTGAGCTCGTTCGTCACCCTAATTTTATAAAAAGATGGGTAATAGATGCTATTCTTTTTCATATAACTAAAATATTTTGTTTTGTTGACTGAACATAGCTTGTTAGAAAACATAGTAAAGCATACTTCATTCATAATAGCGGTAATAATCAACAATTTATTCGTAATCTCGACCACTTCTACAAGTTTTAATAATACTGTAAGTTATAATGACGAAGTAAAAGAAAGAGGTATTACGTGGTAGAGCAACGCTGCAGCGACATTACTGTTATACTTAGTTGTAGAACGAATAGCTCGGCTCGACCGGGGAAAGACCACGCTCTCGCAGAATGCCAGCGTAAAATAGCAGCTTAACGCTATTGTGTTTCGTATGGTAAGTAAAGAGAACCGGAGACCTTTTTACAGGAAACGTGACATTCCATTTTGGTCCTCACGCGTAACAGCGCATCTGCGTTTTTATTCGTAATCGAAGATAGATGTAGGTAGATGTCTATGGGCCACAGCAACCACTTAACATCAGGTGAACTGTGTGCTCGTTGGCACCTTTATCGTATAAAAAAGGGCTTTTACATTTGAAAATGTCAACGAAATTCAGCGTTTTAAGTTTTCTCAGCAAGTAGCCTTTAATGAGCTTATTGTACTTAAGAAACTAGAACGACATAGGTACTCAAGAAACTAGAACGACATAGGTACTCAAGAAACTAGAACGGCAAGAGCTGGTGCGAGCTAGAATCGCAAGATTAGCACCAGTTTTTAAGAGTTTACCTACATGAGCTGCGAAGCTGCAAAGCTTCCTGAAGTAACCCCGTGAAGTTCTAAAACATTCATATATCTTTCAATGTTGCACCTCAATTTCTGAATATCCGTTTGACGCTAACTTATACTAACTTATCATTAAGTTTTACTTATATAATATAACGTATACTTATATATATAAAAATCTTTATGTTTTGTTATAATTTATTTAAAATTATTTTACTTTTAAAGTTTTATTGGGAATTTTAGTCGGTAAAGAAAACACAAAAAACTACCAATAAAAACTTTATACTACTTTTATTCTCTGCTCTTAAACATTTTGCAAAAACAAACCAATAAAAAGTCGTATTAAATTTAAGACTAGAAAAAATTTAACAATTAAAACTATATTGAGACTACCATAGGGCTTCCTTTCAGCAATAAAATAACACTTTGTTAGCAGCTTAACTCATAGTACGTGATCAGAGCGTGTCCGTGGCTTTGATGATCATTGTACAGCAATAACCATAAAGCCGAGGCAGTTTCATTTCATGCGCCTTGCAAATTGCAGAGACCGAAGCACCGGTGCAACCTTACGTCGGTGCTTCTGGACATTACTATGATTGTTTATTTTACTGTCCGACTCATATCGAGACTGTTCCTCAAAATATAGCGCAATTTTTTGTAGTATATTTTTCATTTGTTTTTGTACGCATAACATTCAAACTCAAATTCAAAATATTTATTGTAAGTGAAGTGTTGTGCCGTTACCGTTACAGCCTATTAAAGTCCACTGCTGAAGAAAGGCCTCTTCCATAGATTAACTCATGGGGGCATATTTGCCATAGTTGCCATAGTTGCCACGCTTGACAAGCAGGTTGGCAACCGCATTTTTTATTTGGTAGTTGTTATGACGAAGATGCTGCTGCCCATCTCCTAAATTTTTTCCGTCTGTCGCCTCTTACAACACTCATGGGATGTTCACACTGTCCACCCTCTGCAGTCCACTGTGGTGACCGTATTGTTATTTCGGGTGTATAATGGTGTATCCAAGTTTCATCTACAGTAATTAATTGGCGCCAAAACTCGGATTTATTGCGCCTAAACTGCGTCGACAGAGTGTTGAAAATGTTCATTCGAACATGGTCTAACATGACCGAACGCTGCCAACTTTCTCATGCCTAAATCTTGATTTGATATGTGATAAACACGTTCTTTAGACATTTTCATAGCCTCTGCTATCTCTCTCACTTTATTTCGGCGGTCGTCTAGTACGATTTAGTGAACTTTACCGATGTTATCGTCAGTAGTTGCAGTTTTAAACGTCCCGAACTTTCATCGTCTCCCAAGCTCTCACGGTTAAATTCCCACCTTAAAATTCAACTACCGAAAATTTTAACTTTAGTAAATGATGACGCGATCCCCATTCACAGCATCCTACTCGTCTTTGAATTACGTAGGCGTATTGCCTTTCAAAAACAATAATGACAGCTCGATACTCAATTTTTTCCATTTTCACAAAAACACTCACATCGACTCACTCAAACGACTGTCAATTAATAACAACTACGCTTCCACGTAATACCGCCCTTTGCAGTCCTGTAGCCTGAATGCACCTTCCAATGCAGCGGAAAATTCTTATTTATGACAAATATAACCAATCCGATGAAACGATCTATAAGATATATTAAAAAAAAAACAGCTATATACCACATAAAAAAATCACCATTCTAACAATGGTTCTTTATGCATTATAATTTCAAGTTGGTTTGTACTATTATAATTGTATATGTGTAAAATTATTTTAAAAAAAGAATATGGGGTTAAAATGAGGTGTTTATTGTTATTTGTATCTAATGAACTCGACAGCACGGCTGGCTCGCTTGCAATGCGACGGGAACTTGAGGGCAACGAGATTTACTCAATCCGTATCAGTGTCGAAAACACCAAGAAATCAGAAGTCCATCTCAAAATAACTTTTCTAAAATTAACTGAATCTCTCTAAAATTATTTGCAACGTTTTATATTTATTGCGTCGTTAAAATCGATGTATTTACAACTTCGCCTGAATCACCACAAGCTTTTCCCACATATTATACTGTAAATATTAAATTTTGTATGCATTTTAATCGATTTGTTTCATTTGAATAAACACAATCGCTTATTATCGCTTACTTAAGTCATTACTTGTCCCTATCTGTTGTCATTTAGTGAGGAGAGAGAGATAAAGTGAGAGAGAGAAACTTTTAGTATTCCTTAAGTAGACGTTGATTATTATGAGTAGACCATTCGGCAATATTTATAAAAAAAAATTGTAAACCGAATTGAAATTCCCCACATGGCAACATGAGATGGGTAGCATCATCTTTATGATAACAACTCCAAATTACAAAAAACTGCGGTTGCCATTCCGCAGGGCAAGCAGATGTTCCTAAATGCTCCTAAACTCTGTGCTGGAAGACGATTTCACGCTAATTAACTGGAAATGATACTGTATGAAGTTTAACGGTCACTTTTGATATACAGAAAATGTAATTATTATGGTAAAATCCATAAAACATATTCAAGACAAAGATCATGTTTAACTTCTTTAAGACATCGCCGCAAATATTACCCACCTAAAAGATCGATTAAGGAATACAAATCGACTAAACCCGAATATAGGAGTAAAGTTATATAGCGTAGAGCCATGTTACAGCTATATTACAGTTGTAGCACGGATTGGTCGTTTCGACTGGGGAAGAATCACGATCTCACAAGAATACCAGCGCAAAATAGTAGCTTAATAATAAATAAGCAAGCGTGGCAACTATGGCAAAATCTCTCCTATGATCTATGTGGGAGGCTTATGGAGCAGTGCACTTCTATAGGCTGTACTGGATGGACGGATAGGAAGAAACTGTTAGGTGTCAATTTCGTCGTCGATATATCGGTTGAAACATTCGCGTTCTGGAAAATTTATGCGAAGGCATGTTGATAGTTTACGTGCCGGACGTAATTTTCACTGAACGTAATAAAATTTTAAAGTCAGGAACCATTTGCGGTTGAATTTATAACGTCACGCCGTTGCTGTATTAATTACGAAATCTCTTCATAAAATTGTTGCCCGCCGCTCGGCTGCACTACGCACCTCGTCCGCCCTTGGTGAACGCACAATAAAATGTATTTTTGGACCGGTCCATTGCCAACCGCAGAGCAACATCCGCGGCGAAAGAAATACCGCGCGGAGAGCCGCTGGGCTCTATGATCGTAAATTTTATTTATGCGCCGGTCGCGTGCATCGGGGATTCTATAACGCGCTTATCACTTCTGCCTTACATAGACTCAGTGAAACTGCCCTACGCGGTGACTCGAGAATGTTTTCACTAAGTATAAGTAAAAATATTGAAACTAAAATTACTAAGATCATTTGAAGTAGTGATACTAGTTATAATAACATCAAAAATGTTATACGTGGTAGAGCCGCGTTGCAGCTATATTATAGTTGTAGCACGAGTTGGTC